GGTCATCTTTTGACCTTAATTTCTCATTCACCCTAAATTGATTTTGAGAAAATAAATACAGTACATTAATCTACTCATGAAGTAGATTAAACTCGGCCAAAGAAATTTTTTATCCAACTAACATGACCCACTTAAATAATTGGTCAAAATTTGGTCAAACCAACTAATTAAAATCAATTTTCCAACAATGTTTTATAACAAGGTACATATGTTTTTTATTATTTGCATGACATCGATTTCAAAGCAGTAATTTAACATAATACCACTTTTCTTAGGAGGAAATATCTTAGAATAAGTCAAGAGCTTCTTATATAGGTCCTAGTCCCTTAGTAGAAGTCATCTAGGTCTATAGGTAGTAATGCATTTCCTATCTTACCAAAGGTAATCATTATTTACAATCGGTAATATCTTTGTTGATTAAACCTTAGCAGGAGTAACACAGACAAATGCCATTGTTTCGAGTAATGCTATTTAATTAAAACCATTCAAAAGTACAAAACTATTCCATAGGATTGGATAGTATAATAAATAAGATTAAACATTTTTCATTGGGGTACTATACAATCTTCTCTACCAAAAATTCTATAAGAGTATTATCTTAATACTTTTTCTTTGATTATCCAAAATAACATATTTGCCGTAAAGTGGTGTTTCATTCAAAAGAAATTCACATTCTTAAGATAGGAAATTTAAGCATTAGACACACCTGGTATATGTAGCCATGACACATGCCACGGTCCACAGATGATTTATTTAATACCATGGCATCCTCCATATCATATCTGCATAATTTAAAGAATACATATAACAACACATAAAAACCAAGGAATATCAGGATACATAACATGTTTTAGATTATTACCCAGAATATGCTAGAACAGCAACAATTGCATTTGTTCCTAATGGATAGTCATCAATGTTGTATTTTTCATATGACTTAGTGCGTACAATCGGGGTTTGCGGAGTCTGTAAACACCCAAATCAGCAGTAAAGTGAAACAGTGTTGGAGAAGAACAAAGACAATCAACAACATGAATTACCAAATAAATAACTAAGTGGATCTCTTACAAGAGAAAATAAGTTCAGCAGATAAAACGAAATCAGAATATACTTCCGGGAAATGTCATCTAATTTGACTAATCACATGACATATTACTATCATTCATAACGAAATCCTTCAATTAAAAAGATAGAAGAGAAAAAAGAAAGAAAGAAAGAAAAAGGAAAAATTCATCGTAAAGAGACAGAACAGTTACGAGTGAGATAATTAAAGAGCATCCAATCATAGCATGGTTGGTTTTCAATTCATGGCATAAACATAGAAGAAAGAAGAACCACTTTTTGCTAATATAACATTCAGTAAC